ACTGAAAAAACAGTGTCAATTTTCTATCTATCTCTCTCTCTCTCTCTCTCTTTTTGTCATAATTCATAGTCGGTAAAGAAAAGGAGATCTGACATATAATTCAATAGATCAACTTTATTTATATTTGGTCTCATGCTTGAATTGTTTCATGTCACAAATTTATCAGTGTCAAATATTACAATCACCGATTTTCTTTTCTATTCTACTCTATGAAATTTGAGAATGACGACAAAATTAGTTTAGTCGTTTTTTTTTTTTTTTAAGAAAAAGCAAATCGTTTGAACACAAAATAGGGTGGAGTTATGTCGCCGTCTTTTTAATATATTGATAAGAAAAAGACGTACGAAATGCTGTCAAATGGCATTTTTCATCGTATATTAATTCTACAATAGAACTCTATGATAAGAAATGAGTCTTTGTCCTCCTGTCACCCTTTTGTATATACAAGGCAATCATCAAGATAATTAAAGAGAGGGAGAGAGAGAATTCAACTAAAAGTCACAATTGAAATCTATGTGAAAGAAATAAAAAAAAAAAAGGTGCAGAGATAATCAAGTGTGCTACAAAATTCATTTTGACATGCCTATATATCAGCAATCTATTTGTTTTAGAAAATGATAGCAAGAACAATGTCATTAGATTGCTTGAGAAAATAAATATTTCAAGAGAAGAAGACGAAGGAGAAGAAGAAGAAGAGTGTTGAAAGATGCAATAAACGAGATATATTTACTTATTGACATGACAATGAATATCTATTTTTTTTTGTTTAGTTATTCATATTCAACGATATTGAATACAAAGATACTTTTTTTTGGGATATATTGTAGTTTATAATCTTAATATATTCTGTGAGGTAGAGATCGGAAAGTCTGAGATTTCTCAAATTACAACTTATTGTCTTTAAACTTTTTTCTACTTTGTATAAAAGTTTTAAATTCAATTTTTTTTTGTTTTATGAAAGATAAATAAACTATTGTGTAGATTTCACGATAAATGATCTATCTACTGTCGAAATCGAGTCTATAGAAATGTCGTAGATGGAATCATATTGTCACAGAGTTAGACGAGTCAAGTTAAATTGGTTTTAACAAATAAAATGATACAACTACTATAGCCTTATTAACAAAGTACGGGAAATGAAATGAACTGTTTTCTATTATACAATTCCACAAGACAGTAAGAATACATTAATTTTTATAAATAAAAGTCTAAACGTAAAGTTATTCACAAGCAAAAAAATATTTATTAACATTTAAATTTATTTCTTATTGTACTGCAAAGATGTTAAAATGCAAATATTAGCTGGTGAAATTAAAATGTATCATCGATTGAAACATTGAGTAATATTTATTTATTTTTTAGATTCTTCTAGTATGCAGTCATTATTCCACATCTCATAAATTTTGTCCTTAAATGAATATACCTTGTTATGTTTGATGCTTTGTATCACTTTTAATATGTGTCACTGTGTCTAATGAACTATGTATGTTCGATATCTCGTTTAACATATCGAATGTTCCACAAATATGCATGATAAAAAAAAAAACGTGAATAGCTCCTCAAAAGATCAAGCAATTTCAATAAACTTTTCATAATTTCATTCAATGTCCTTTAAAGTTTTATTTCATATAGTTTTATCGATAAAATATTCCTAGGTTGATGCTTCTGGTGTTCGGAAACAAGTGCATTTCCTGGAGTTATTCCGGTGATTTCTAATCATTGTCAGTGTACAATTATAACGCATTGACTGAAAATCACCGGAAAAATTCGCAGTCCGTCTGAGTACGGATTTGAATAAATAGAAAATTCACACCCCACTCACACCCAGCTCTGTCATAAATTCTGTAAGAGTTTATATGAACATTCGCAATAATCTGAGCATTTAGTGTCTGGTATACTTTTACCAACAACAAGAAATTCATCGACTTTTCAAATGTATTATAACGATAGAGCTTTTAGAATGTGATTGATTTGATATGATATTAGCTTTACAAAATTATTGGTAGATAACTTTAATGCAATATTCATATGACGTTTCTTTATCGAATTCAATGAACAATTTTTATTTTACAATCATCGATAATTCAAGTTTGACCATCAATAAGTTCTAATGTTAATAGATGAAGCTATTCAATTTGAAATAGAATGAATTAAACTTAAGTCAATATAACGGGTGAGCTATGATAAATCAAATTGATTGTAAATGCAATTTTTCAATCATTTACTATTCATATAAAATATTTATTTATATAATATCAAAAGATAGAGAATTTTCAATCTCTACAAATCTGTATACTACTTCACTTCTACAAAGAACGTTTTTTTTTAAAATTTCGAAGCAACCAACACATTGTATATCTCTATTGCGAAACTAAAAATAAACCAAGATATTCTCGATGAAATGATCTATCTTCTCGAATTATTAAGAAACTATTCATGTGTTTTTTTCCTCGTGCATTACTTCTGGAACATTCTCTACATTATACTTATTAAAAAATAATATTTTGAATCTGTTATATTAGAAAATAATTCACAACTGTCTATTTATTGTAGACATTTAATTGTATAATTTTATTTCTGATGTCGCACTTGTCCTTGAACATTTGTAGAGATGTCGCAAAAATATAATTGAACAAGCTAAAACGAATCATATTCGATAGTTTAGAAGAAAGGAAGAATATGTCTTTGTTCTGTGCATTATTCGTACAATTCTATAGCATTTATATCGACCATCGTTTTCCTTTCATTCAACTAAGAAAAAATGCAAAATATAGTTCGGGATTATCAAGCTGATAAAAGTAAGAACTTTTTCATTTAAAAATTGTTTTTTTTTTAATATCAAACTCTTGCATTTAAAGATAAAATAAAAGATTTTCTTAATGAATTTGAAATCGATACAGCTGATGGTTATAAAGCATCAAAATATGCTAAACAATTGGTATTCTAACTTTTGTTTGTTTTTATATTGGATTTAATTCAATTTTTTTATTTAAATTATTTAGAGAAATTTAGCTAATCGTGAACAAACAACATTAGTTATTGATATAGATGATATAGCTACAGTTGATCCAGAATTAGCTGATGCTATAACTGAAAATTGTCGTCGATATACTCAACTTTTTTCTCAAGTTATTCAAGAAATGTTACCCGAATTGAAAGATAGAGAAGTAATTTTCTATTAGAAAATAATTTTAAAAAATATTTTATTAATAATTTAGATTCAACATAAAGATGTACTTGATGTTTATATTGAACATCGTTCATTAATGGAACAACGTATGCATCATAATACAGATGAAACACGTGATCCAATGAATCGTTATCCTGAAGAATTAATGAGACGATTGTAAGATTTTTGAAACAACATTAATTCATCCAAATATTTTTTTGTGGAACTCAAATTTTATTATTCGAAGAAAAATATAATAAGTTGTAATTCGACATTTTGCCGCTCCTTCTCTTGACGGTGGGAGGAGACGCACAATCATTGAGTGGGTTTCCATAGAGATCGGGAATAACAGACGTCAGACTCCTTTCCCAGAGTTTTTTAGCAACGGAAAAAGACGCTGAAGAGCACTAACAATAAGACCTAGACTGTTTTAGAACATTCCAAATCCTTTCTCGAAAATTGAATGACTAGACTATGTTTACGAGTCATGTTCTAAATAGTACCGTTTTTTACTTTTGCGCAGGTTAAAATTCATATGATCCATATAAAAACGTGAATTGTTGAAGTTATAACCTGGGAAAATATTCAATATCAGTGATTCTAAACTTATCGGGACACAGAATTGTGTGCTGAGATTTGCTGTAGACTAGGGTGGAAGATGGCCCTCCTGATCTTGGAAAATTTTCATTTTTCTCAGAGAAACTAATCTATTTTCTTCGACTTTTGTTGCTCAAGAATTTCTCCAAAAAAGTCAATCTCTCCGAATCTTACGACGAAAGGTCTCCAAGTATGATACATCGATTAAGTCGGTATTGTATCTACAAGTAGGGTCTCAGTGGAATTAGAAGTCTCTGTCTTTCTCGACTTACAAGCTATTTTCTTACTCAGACAATACAAAAAACTCCGTTATGAAACTTTGTGTATAGATAGATACTATGATCGTTAGAATGTTCTGAAAATTTCAGTGCAAAGGAGTGTTTCCTTCTTGATATATTACATGTTGAAGATACTCAATGTCCTAAATTTTTCATGTGACACATGTCGGTTGTTTGGATATCCATTATCTTAAGAAGAAAACGTTCTTTTGAGCTGCAATTTTTAGGACATTTTGATGATCAGAACATCTATGTATGGATGAAATTTCATAACTGAATTTTTTCATATATGCCTTACCTGAGCGAGAGAATAGAGGAAAACGATTGTGACTCGAGAGAAATACCGTATGGAAACGAACCCTTTTAGACGTCTGGTCTCACTGAAACCTTCCCTTGTTGATGACCTCAGCAAATCCCTAGCTGTACATATAATGGACATCGTATACAACAGGGTCCTTTGCCACTTGTTAGAATGATAAATGTTAAATTAAGCAACACAAAATACAAAACTAAAAAAAACGGACAAGTAGCGGCAGTAAAAGATCGAACAAATTCTCTGTTCGAATAGCAGAAATAAATAGGACAGATTGTTTCGCTGACAATCGGTTCTCCTTTTTTTTTTGAAGAGTTTCAATTCATTTCAAAAAAACATTTTATTCTTTAGCGAATTATATTTTAAATCATCAAGCACACAAAAATATTTATCTGTTCGTCAAGTTAAAGCAAATCATATTGGAAAATTAATATCAGTTAAAGGTGTTGTTACACGTGCAACAGAAGTTAAACCAATGATAAATGTTGCAACATATACATGTGATATATGTGGTTCTGAAACTTATCAACCGGTAGATTCAAAACAAAAAAATAGAAATAATTTATTTTCTATATTGATTTCTTCAATATATCTAGATAACTTCACCAACATTTATGCCACTTGTTATGTGTCCAAGTCAAGATTGTGTAACAAATAAATCCGGTGGACGTTTATCATTACAAACACGTGGTTCAAAATTTATTAAATTTCAAGAAATAAAAATTCAAGAACATGTAAATATTATTGAACAACTAAAAAGAAAAAAAAAAGAATTTTTTCAATTTATATTTGTAGACTGATCAAGTACCGGTTGGAAACATTCCACGTTCAATGACAGTATGGTGTCGAGGAACAAATACACGTTTATGTCAACCAGGTGATCATGTTGCTATAACTGGCATATTTTTACCATTACTTCGTACGGGTTTTCGTCAAATGACACAAGGTCTTCTATCGGATACTTTTCTTGAAGTACATGTAAGCGTTCATAAAAGAATTTTTTTGAAAATCTATTGTTTTATTTATTGAAGAGAATTGTTTTATTAAATAAAAGTGAAGATGAAGAAATTGAAGATAAAGAAATGGATGAAGCTGAATTAGCAGATCTTTTTGCTGGTTTGTTTTAAATACAAAAAAAAGTCGAAATATACGATTGAAATTTTATATTTATTTAGAAAAAGATTTATATGATCGATTATCAATGAGTATTGCACCTGAAATTTATGGACATGAAGATATTAAAAAAGCTTTACTTCTTTTACTTGTTGGAGGAATTGATAAATCACCACAAGGAATGAAAGTTCGAGGTATGTTAATTAAATTATAATTTTCTTGAATAATTAATGCTGATCTGTTTCAAATCATTGTATTTTATTCTGACCACAGTGAATACCTAGACAATGAAATAATGATGTTTTAACTTTATCATCGAGTTTAATAAAAAATTTTATATGAACTATGGCAGTAGGGATGTGCAGGATTAGATTTTTCCGTACCCTATTTTTTGACTGAAAAAATGTATCTTATCCTACTCTAGAGTTGGGACTAGTCGAGAATGTTAGATCTTTATTATTCGGTTAATGAGAATGGCTTGAAAAAACATTGATTTTCTTTTTTGTACTCAGATTTTTGTCTATCTCGAGGAGGAAACATAATGCTATAGTCGTTTGTATCTGTTAGATTTCTGAAAGATGAGTATGCGATATTTCTACGTATTGTACGAAAAAAGAGTCCTTTATCCATCAAGGGATTGGTAAATTCCAAATCTTGAATTTTCTCACTCAGTCTTTTGATACAAATCTAGTATTTTTCTTTGAATGATGATCCAAATTAGGAAATGGGAACGATGAGCACGAGAACGCGCAGCACTAAGAATTTAAGCACACAAAATACTGAAACTAAATAGGGTGTGGGTGGATGTTAGTGAACTGCACGGGTCTCTGATGGACTTGGAGTCGGAGTTACAAAACCGGAATTTTTCAGAAGTGCAGTCGCGAAATCACAATTTTACGAAATTGTAGCCGGTGAATTTAAAATTTTTGTCAAAAGTTTTTTGAGTCATTGCTTGTGTGATTTCTGAAATCTCATCGCTAAATTATATAGACAAATTCTTGTAGTCGGAGTCCAAAATTTTTTTCTCGACGTCTCAGTCGAAGTCGGATTTCGGAGTCACAAAATTTGACTTCATAGTTCACCAGTAGATGCGGGTGTGGGGTTGGTATTATGTGGCTGTAGTATGGAGAAAATGACAGACTTCAAGCTTCATGAAAGTCCAAAACACTTCACCGAACTCCATCAGGTAGAAGTTTCTACTATTTCCTCCTCAGATGTGGGTGTGGGTGAAGAGAAGATGGACACCTTCACCCAGTCATACCCTTGTTAGGTTATTTTTTTGGTGTGCTTGAAATGTCGATAGTGAACGTTTCCGTGCTCCTCGTTCGCCAATTCTCCAAATTTCTCTCAACAAGTTTTATCAGAGAAGATTGGTATATCTAGAAAATGTTTTCCAATTGGTGAAGATCGACCGGTTCAACCATTTCGACTGGACCGAACCGGTTACAACTCTCTTCTTTAGAGTAAAGTAGGGTAACCCTGCACACTTATATGACAAGAGAAAAACGATGATATGTTAATTTGAAATTGATGATTATCGTCAAGAATTATTTGATTAAATTTTTTTTTCAGGAAATATAAATGTTTGTCTTATGGGTGATCCTGGTGTAGCTAAATCACAATTATTAAGTTATGTCAATCGTTTAGCACAACGTAGTCAATATACAACTGGTCGTGGTTCATCTGGTGTTGGTTTAACATCAGCACTTATTAAAGATCCAATTACAAGTAAATAAAAACTAATTTATAATCATTGAATATCTATATAAATATATTTCTATTTTTTAGATGAACTCGTACTTGAAGGTGGTGCATTAGTCTTAGCTGATCAAGGTGTTTGTTGTATTGATGAATTTGATAAAATGACTGAATATGATCGAACAGCTATCTATGAAGTTATGGAACAACAAACAATTTCAATTGCTAAAGTAATTCATAAAGAGATTGTTTTATATGAAAAAAATAAACTATGAAATATTTTATCTTAGGCAGGTATATTAACATCATTAAATGCTCGTACATCAATCTTAGCTGCTGCTAATCCTGCATATGGTCGTTATAATCCTAAACGTTCAATTGAAGCTAATATTCAATTACCAGCAGCACTTTTATCACGTTTTGATTTACTATGGATAATTCAAGATAAAAATGATCGGGAAATAGATCTTAAATTGGCTCGTCATATTGCATCTGTACATCAAACTGGATGTCAACCAGAAATCGAAAATAATCAACATTTTATTGATATGAAAACATTACGGTAGTATTTTTAAATATTGATTTTTTTTTTGTTTTCATCTTGTTTTTGTTTTGCTTTAGACGATATATTGCAACATGTAAAAAGAAACAACCATTAGTACCTGAATCATTACTTGATTATGTTGTTACAGCTTATGTTGAATTACGTAAACAAGCTCGTGTTAGTAAAGATATGACATATACATCAGCAAGAATGCTTTTATCAATACTTCGTTTATCAACTGCACTTGCTCGTCTTCGTTGTGGTGATCTTGTATCAAAAGATGATATTGATGAAGCACTTCGTTTAATGGAATCATCTCGATTACTTTTGAAACATCATGAAAATGTACCAACAAGGTATGAAAATAAAATTTCTATTATATTTTTCTTAACTTTTTTTTATTAGACAAATCAATCCAATTGATCAAGTATTTTCTGTTGTACGCGATATGGTACCATCATCGGGTGCTAAAATTGTTCGTTATGCCGAAGCTAAAGAACGTTGTGTTGCAAAAGGTCTTAAACCAGATACATTTGATGAGGCACTTGAACGTTATGAAGAAATGGGCTTATGGTATGTTAATCAACAACGTACAACAATTACAATTGTTTAAAGAAAAAATATTCAGTTGAATATAACTGTATATACGTATATATTTTTTTTTGTCGGACGCTGTCAGATTCATTTGTACGTGTAGGAAAACAAAAAATATTTTTTTATATATATTCAATGAAGATTATGTTAGATATGGTTGTATAAAAAAAAAGAAAGAAAAAGATTAGACATATAGATATATATATATATTTGAATAATAAAGATAATTCTATTTGGTATTATTTGAAGATTAGCTATAAATAATCAATAGCAATGCATACTATTTATTATAATCAAGAGAGAACTACATGAATTGTAACACACTGTTTGAGTTCATATTAGACCACAAGAAGGTCTTGGTAAGACTAGAAAATGATTAAAAGGTTCGATCTCATGAACATTTGCAGCTGAATTATGAGCGTTTTATTGAATTTTCTGCTCGTCTTTAGGTATTTACTGAGAAATCAAACAATGAAACTTAAATCTGAAATTCCACTTGTAGATAGTCTTCAAATATCTTCAAAGTTTCAGCTGAGAGGAATATTCCTTTGTTGAGATATTGAATTTTCAAGTAAGCCTGATTTACGTGACATGTTTGTAGGAAAACGAATTTGTTTTTGAAAATTCAATATCTGAACCAAAGAGTATTCGTCTGGGTTGAAAATTTCAGGATATTCTGTGGGTCATTAGACCTCTTTATGAGTGGAATTTCAGGTTGAAATTCTATTATTTGATTTTTCAATAAATACTTTAAGACAAGTCAAAAATTCGGTACAATGACAATAAGTCGGCTTCAGAAATCCATGGGCACGAATCCAAAATGGCCGTAAATATACGAATAACTTTTTCCACACTGTGCTGACTCTTATATTCTTCCAGTAGGTTCGTGAAATTCCATTCTAATTTGTTAATAGCATCCAAAATAAAAAACAGAAAAAGAAAAAAGTTACCTCCAATATTCCGGGTCCTTCTCAGAAAGGTGAAGGTATAATTCATGCTTACAATACGTCTTTCTGAGAAGGAATTTTAATACTAGTAAAATGAAGTATCACAACTTTTTTTTTCAGAAGAAAGTCAATGCTATTAGTACTGAAATCGTGTATAATCTCTAATTTTTTGCTGCTTAGATCCTTGTACAAGTTCATATTGTTATTCCTATTCAAGATTTAATCTTTCTATTTGCTTAAAAGTATTCAAAGAGATTTGAAATATTTATTTTATTATAAATGCTCATTACAATAACTAAAATGAGTTTAATGGTCCTTTGCATTTTTTTACTTTAAAAAAATATCACACAATTATACATGTATTTGATGTCACCGAATAATTATTCACTACTTTTAAATTATTTGCTCCTGCATTAGCTAATTGAATTCCTTTTATTTGTTGTCGATTATATTCCAAAGTTTTTTCACGTATATCATCAAGATTATGTTGTTGTTGTTGTTGTTGTTGTTGTTCAATCGAAGTGTTATTTATTGGAGATTGATTTTCAATAACTATATCATCATCATCATCATCATCATTGTCTTTATCAGAATCACTAATCGTAAAGTCCGATGTACCAGATTGATACGGAAAACCTGCATAATATTTTAAAAAATATGCTCGATAGGATTTGCCGCTCTTCATTTTTGATAATGAAAGTTTTGCATTAAGACGATGAACATAACGATATGAAGTAATAGGTTGAATCATTTTTCTCGCCTTATATGCGTCAAGTTCTTTATCATCATTTTCAATATCGCTATCATAATCATCTGAACTCATATCCATAAAATTTTCCATTTGTTCAACAATATTTTTCGCAGCTGAATGACTATCTCGTTTAAGATTTCTAATAAAAACATAATATTAATAAAGAAAAAAAAAACAAAACTCTAGTTTTCTTTATACCTGCTTGGTAATGCTTGAATTTTCGACTGTAATGTTGGATCATCTGGATCAGCAATCATTAATGTTAATAAACGTCGATCATTCATTGCCAAAATAATAAAATCATTATTAGCAATCATTGTTGTTACATAATCATAAACAAATAATCTTGCTAATTGACGACGATCTTTAACACGATACATACATAAAACTCGAGGTTTAACAAGAGCAAACACATAATCTCCTGATTCATTAAGACATAATTGTTCACATTCATTTTCAAGCTGAATTGGTTCATGACAAATACATAAATTAATATTATGTAAATTTAATTGATTTTCACCATTAATAGCTGTAGCTAAACAATTATTTTTTAAAGTATAAATATCCGCTGTATCAAATGGTGTTATTTGATAAGAATTTTTATTTGATAATTGAATTCGACATGAATAAAGAGATTTATTTTCAAAATAGAATAAAAGAATTTCTTGATTCTTTTCACTGGTCATTCGAATTAAATGTGTTGATGAATATTGTGAAAGATCTATATCCATATAAATAATTTCATTTGATGTCCAGATAGCTAATGAATGTTGATCATCAGCAAGTATAATAAGTGATGCTTTAGAATGAAGTGTTAATATGGAAGTAAATAATTTTGAACATTTTATATTTAATTGTTTATTTGATGTTTGATTAAATTTGATATTATTCTTATTTATTTGTTGAGTAATACAACGAATTGATCCATCATTAGTAATCAAAATAAAAGTATCTTCATTTATAGTGAATACTCGTGTTGGATAACGAAGATGAAGACGAAAAAGTGGTTCTTTATTTAAAGAGTTTAATTCATAGATTTCAGCCCAATATGTATTTGTAATTATAAGTACAGCTCTTTCAGATAAAACAGCATAATCATCAATTTTTGTTGAATTAGGAAAATGACGTTTTGATTCAATTGACGTAGAATGTTGATATAGCCATGAAGTTAGTTCTCTATATAAAACATATCATCATACTAATAACTTTTTTCCAATAGTAAGAAATAAAATACGAATGTATTAATTCACTCTTCCATGGACAGTTTTGGACCGAGACCTTTGTCCCTCGGAGATATTCACCTAACTGATTAATCGCTTTTGAGTCGAGACTATGTGCATCATGTAGGCTCAAATGAGTTTTAAATATCCTGAAATGAGTTCAACTTTTAGCTCATTGCTGCATAGATACTGCAAATTTACGGTAGTTTTTAAATGAATGTTGTAGCACTCTGTCAAGAACACCAGCAAAATTGATTTTCAAATTTCGACTTGAAAATTTGCATACAGACAAGCCCTAATGAGATTGTGAAAGTTTCGGGTCTTTTGATTTGTTTCTATGTTAAAATAAGAACATCGAATTTGCCGGTTTTTTGGAGCGATGCAAAAGACACGGTGTTGCCATAGTTGTATCTTAGGACAGGAATAACGACAAGATCTGAAACATTCACAATCTCATTAAGGCCTGTCACACTATACCAAGTTTCAAGTCGAAATTCGAAAATCAGTTTTTCTGGTGTTTCTGAGGTGGAGGAAGACCGAAATTTCGGCCTGGTCCGAATTTCTAGTGAATTTTCGGGCCAGGAGTCGAAAATCCTAAGAGAATTTCGACACGTGATCGCATTGACCCCTAAAATAACAAAAATCCAATTTGCTTAATTAGTTGCAAGATATAGTGGTGCTGAACAGAACGACATAGCGCTGAGCAGAGTGACGTAGTGCTGAGGAGGACAGCACAATGCGTAGAGGATGGGTCTCTTCTACATCAAAAGTGCCAATCACACATTAAGGTATGAGTGTTTAGCCGCTGATGCGGAGGTCCGTGATGTGAATATATGATGTGTGATTGCCACTGTTAATGTAAAAAGCATATACACTCTAAACATTATGTCGTCCTCCTCAGCACTACGTCATTTTGCTCGATGCTACGTCATCCTGCTCAGCACCATCATATCTTGCAACTACCTAAGGAAATTAGGTTTTCTTCTTTTAGGGGTCAACGAGGTGATAAAATGAAATTTCCTCGGGACTATCGACACGGCTCGAAAATTTACTAGAAATTCGGATTGGGTCGAAAACTCCATGGATTGAAATTCCTATAATCTGTATTCATAGCTCATTTGGGTCCACATAATGCACATAGCCTTGATTAGCATTCTTGGGACTATCCAAAATTCATTTCATCCCATATAACTCTAGTCTCGACTCAAAAAAGGCAATTTATCAGCTGCACAACTTTCCTCGTTCGTCAGAAGTTAAATATGACTTCCATGTAGTTCGATTTGTCATCAGTTGTTCTCTCTCAAACAAGATCAAAAAATAAAAAGATATAAAATGATATTTGCATGTTTGCTTATATTTTTTATTCCAAAAGTCGGTGGTTTGCTGAAATCTTTTCGATCGATTTCACTTAGACTTACTGTTTCGATATATCCAATGTGATTGCTTTTGTTCCAGATAATTGAATTGTACCAATTAATTCTGTTGTACGTGGTAATGGTGGTAGTTTTTTAAAAGCTTCTCGTGCTGCAAAACCATGATATGCATTAATAACTCCATTTTGCATTGAACATAGAAAAAGACTTGCTAGTAGAAATTAATAAAAAGAATAATTTTTTTTTTTTTTTTTTTTATGTTAAAATCTATTCTTACCAGAATCACCTGATGGTTTAATAGTAAGTACTGATGATGAACTAATATCAATAGAAACATATAATTGATGTTCATGATAAAAATTACATTTGCCATGTTTATTATCTTCTCCTTCAGTACACTTCCATTTATACATATTAATAATACCACCTCGAGCAGTGTATATAAAATGCGGACGTTTTGCATGTACTGAAACAACATCACATTGACCGGGAATACGTACATATGATATATCTTGTTTCATACAAGTATGCACAACACATAAACATTCTTTTGTTAAAACCATAAAGTATATCTTCATTGAGTCACTTGATGCATCTTCTTTGTCGTCAGGTAATACAATTCGTTCAATTGGTTTAGGATTTATAGGTGGATTAAAAGCAATTAATGTTTTAATTATTTCTTTATCAGATAAAATTTTTTCTGTGTTAATTATTGAATTTAAATCGAT